ATGAAGATATTGGAAATTAAAGTCCATAAAAACGTTCCACTTTCTTCCGTAATCTCTGATAAGATAACATTTTCTTCATTTAATCGAAATTCCACTCTTTTCGTTATCATTACCCACTTTTATTGGACAAATTGTTTCATTCAAATGGATAAGAATGCAAAAATTACGTATGTGATTTTATAACATAGGTGATAAAAGCGTGAGTCAATTAGAAATCATACCATTGTGATAAAAAAAAACTGCTACCAAAGACGAATTTTTCCGATTTCTTTCTTATGAATCAGAATTTATTTTGCGAAAGACCCGCAGTGAAAATCTACCGAAAACGATTTGCTAATATTTTTTATTAGTCATAAAATAAAAGATACTAACATTCCGGAATATAAAAAAAATATAATCCTCCAAAAATCCCAAAATATTTTGGACTAAAGTGTAATGTCTTCAATTCTTGGCGAAGAGCTTCAAGTAATCTTCAATTTTTATATTTGAAGATTAATAATAATTCCACCATTGTTATAATTAAAAAATCCTCAAACACTGCACGAAAGAATTTCAAATGAATAAATCCCCAACTGCGATCAATCTCAGGGAATATAAACGGCGGAATTTTTTCAGTTTGTTTCAACCTTTTCCTCAACAGAAAAATATAGAAATCCATGAAATTATTCCTTATCACTTCCTCAGGTATGCACACACCAATACAAACGACATGCATGTCAATGTTCATATTCATACTCTGATAATGTCTCATATTTTTCATTTTCTCACACAACTCTTGTGTTTGTAAGACATCACATTATTGTAGGTCGAAAGCGAAAGGCCGATGTCCTTGATTGCACATGTTTTGATTACTCCACAATCCATTGCTAGACTCTCAGATAGAAAAATAACTATTGCGCCAACGATGAGACAATAGAACCTAGTTTGGGATGAGGTAAAAATAGAACCTTCCATACTTTCCATCAGGTCTCTATTCTCACCTGCGAATTATCCAGCTTTCGCGTAATTTTTATTGCACTTTTTCTCCTCGTTCCCTTTAAATGAATCTGATGTTGAGGAATTTATGACGTTTTTCTCACTTTCAGATGGACAATCCCGTACATTTGAATGGTTCAAGATCATCTAGGGTGGATTTATCAGCAACAGAGCTTGGGGAGGTGAGGATGGCATCGCCAACACCAGCAGCATCATCATCGAAAAATGTTGCTCCAGGCCCCTGCAGTAATGGACCTTGCAAAACATCAATGTCTCTTCACAACAAACCTGAGAGCCCTTGGCACTCGTTGAAGACTGTCTTCTTGGTGTCATTCATCATCGCACTCATCATCTGGATCATTGTCTACACCCTGTTGTCCCAGTATGAATTACTGTGATGATTCGTCACTGGGGGAGCAAAGAATTTTGTGATGAGGAAGTGGACTGCGAGTGTGATACGTGTGGAAACTGTTTTGATCGTTTGGTCGCTTTGATCTAGTCTCGTGCTTAAAGTTGAGAATTAGATTATGATTTTCGATGAGAATCTGGATAGTGAGGGCTAATTGTTACACTAAACTCTAGAGGTATTTATTTTTTTTATCAATTCTTTGTATCAGTTTCAATTAGAGATTTCCAATGTAATCATTATTAGTAGTTGAAATGAAGATTCTGTAAAATTTTGCAAGTGGGATAATTTCGCATACATGAAGGGAATCATTCAATAAAAATTATCAATAATAAAACGTGGACATTATGTTTAGCATTTTTTGTAACGAAGTACTAAACTAGGATAAGTACATTCTTTTTGAGGCCAGTTTTTAGCCAATATCTCCGAATTAAAGGGACATGGCGAATTTTTCATACAAACATTTTCTATAGAAAAGGATGCGAGCTATAAAAAAGGTATCTATGAAAAAATCGGTATCTTCCTTCAATTTAAAAATATTCGGGAAAAATCGGCGTACAAAAAACTTAATTACTGTTATGGGATTTTGTTCAATGATTAAAAAATTTCGAACGAAACGGATTACTAGTTAAAACTCTAGCTTTATAAAAATTCTTTAGAACTTTTCATTTCAGAGGCATGATAACTCACCGATTTTATGAGTCATGACTTATTTATGATTTTCCTTCGTTGAATTATGTAAATTGTTCGGTAATTTTTATTGAATTTCTCTCTTGTACGGGGATTCCCACCATTTGCTAGTTATTTCCTATTCCAATATTTAAAAAAGGGGGTTTCAGTTCAAAACGATGAACATTCTGAACCTGAAATTAATAACTTTTTCTTTCAAGTTAATCATCACAAAATATCTGGTATTATGATTCAAAATGGAGGTCGAAAGCTGTTCAACTAGAAACGTTAAACTAGATTTCAATTAAGAATTGTTGAAGAATCTGAATATTCTCCTATTTT